GGGGACACGGGATCGGCCTCCGGGAGACAGAGTTCCTTTTTCCCTGCCCAGAGGGAAATGTGGGTGCCAGCAGATGTGCAGCAGCCAAGAGGCCGCAGCTCAGTGCTCGGGGCAGTGTGTGTGGCTTGAGGAGGATGTGGGCAGGCAGGGGTGAAACGGGGAGCACGTGGAAGGTGCCTCTGGGGCTTGTGAGGCCCAAAGTCCCTGAAGGAAGGGAGGGAGGGAGGGAGGGAGCGTGGGTGAGCGCTCCTGCAGCTCAGCCTAACCCTGGCCGCGTGTGGGGCCAGTTCTCGTTTGCAGAGCAATGGGAACATCCCCAGGACACCGAGGTTCTGGGAGCTCTGGACCTTGGCGGTGCCTCGACGCAGATCACCTTCCAGCCCGGGGTCCCTGTGCAGGACAGGAACACGTCCGTGTTCTTCCGGCTCTACGGCACCAACTACTCCCTGTACAGCCACAGCTACCTGTGCTACGGGCAGAGCCAGGCCCTGAAGATGCTGCTGGCAGCTCTGCACCAGGTGCCACGGGGGCTGCTCAGCCATCTCCCAGCCCCACGGCCCGTCTCCTGCAGCACGTTTGGGCGTGCCTGTGGGCAAGGAGTTGGGAATTGGCAGAGGCCTGGATTTTATCTAGGGAAGCCCAGAATTCCCTCCTTTGTGTGGAAGGTGCTGGTGCTTGCCAGCCAGGGCTCCCTTCTCCCCACATCTGGACGTGCAGTGGCGTTTCTTGTCATTTCCCGAGCCCAGCCGTATCTGTTGGGTTTTTGGTGTCCCCGTTCTCTTGCCCTTGCTCCACCTGTGGCCAGAGAGAGGTTTCCCAGCACAGTCCCTGCACAAGTGTCGGGGCCAGAGCCAGAGCCCAGTGCTGTGGGAGCCAGGGATGCTCAGGGAGCTCCAGGCTGGGATGCATCCAGTCCTCCTGGGGTGGAGGTGCTGCTCTTTGGGCTGGGCTGTGGGAAGGGTCTCGGTGGCATGGCAGCCCCATTAATGGCTCTGTCTCTCTCCAGGCCAGCTCGAGTGCCCAGATCTCCCACCCCTGCTACCCGCGGGGGTACCGGGAGAACCTCACTGTGGCAGAGCTGTACGACAGCCCCTGTGTGCGTGCACCGAGCTCAGCCAGCCCTGGCCTGGTCCTGACGGTGACAGGGACAGGGGAGCCAGGCGCGTGTGGCACGGCCATCCAGAGTCTCTTCAACTTCAGCTGCGGGGCAGAGCGGCCGTGCGGGTTCAATGGGGTGTATCAGCCCCCCGTGCGGGGACAGTTCTTTGTAAGCAGCCTCTGTCCCTGCCCCTGGGGGTGAAGGCAGAGACCGGGAGTCTCCTCTGCCACTGATTGTGGAAAGGGGTGGGGACAGAGGGATCCTCAGAGCGGGTCCTATCTGCAAACCTTTCTTGTTATCGGAGGTGGCTTCTGCCTCCTGCTTGTCCCGGCCTTCCCTGAGGGAAACGGGCAGACCTTGTCTGAGGGGACATGTCTGATGTAGCTCAGAGTGCAATGCAGCCTCACGGCTGTCAGCCAGCTCTGACACTTTCTGGTTGGCCATCAAGGAGGTGCCAGATGCAGAACCCTGGGAATTACTTGGGACTCTCTCCTCAGGCAAGAGGGGCCCTGGGTCTTTTCTCAGGTGATGAAGGAATTGTGGTTTTCACCATGTCCCCTTGCCCTCCAGGCTTTTGCTGGGTTCTACTACACCTTCCACTTCCTGAACCTGACCCGCCAGCAGTCTCTGAGTGAGGTCAACACCACAGTCCAGTCCTTCTGCAGGAGGAACTGGACAGAGGTGAGAGCCCTGTGATGGGCAGCCAGGAACCTCGTGCTTATCCTGTCCCAAATCTCTGCCCTTGGAGCACAAGCCCTGCTGTTCTTGGGCCAGGGAGGGGTTCTGAGCATCTCTTTGGTTCCCTGTTACACTGCGTCCCCGCTGGCCCCACAGCTGGTGCAGAGCTTCCCGCAGGATTTGAAGCACCTGCACACCTACTGCTCCATGGCCATTTACATCCTGACACTGCTGCTCGATGGCTACAAGTTCAACGAGCACACCTGGAGCAACATCCACTTCAGCAAGCAGGTAAACACCTGTGGGCAGCAGGAGGGGATGGACATGTTCAGGAGGAGCATGTCTGGAACCATCCGTGCCAGAACTGTGTCCCTGTTTCATGGCTGCTCCCCAGGGATCCCAGGAGAGTTTTGCTCTCTCTCAGTCACCTCCAAACCTGTGGCCCAGCTCATTTCTCACTTTCCCTGCTGTGAATGTAACTGATTTTAAGGGGGTCAGGGAAAAGCAGAGCAGGATTTGGCCGCTTTGGTCTCTGATGCTGTTATCAGAGTGAGAGGTGATGGTGACCCCATGGCTACTTTGAACCAGAGTATGGCCTGGCCAGAATATTTCCAGGATGAGAGGAGACAGCCTCAAGTCTAGGGGAAGCTTAGTTAGGTACTAGGGATGGTTTTTTTTCATGGAAAGGGTCAGGCTTGGGAGCAGGCTGCCCTGGGAAGTGGTGGAGTCACCATCCCAGAAAGTGTCCATACAACATGTGGATGTGGCACTTGAGGACATGGCTTAGTGATAAACATGGTGGTGGTGCTGGGCTGGTGGCTGGACTCGATGGTCTGAAAGGTCTTTTCTGAGCTCACTGATTCTGCAGTGAAAGTAGGATTATGGGAATGGAGGAAAGGCCAGATCTGAAATCATGTGCAGGTCACAGAGACACACCTGGATCACAGCAGCCAGCCATGTTCAGCTGTCCCCTAGCCCTGGGGGACGGGGACAGGAAAGCTTTTTGTGCAGCTGCTGCTGGCAAGATCAGGTTCAGCACAGCCTGTGAAACGGCAGCTCATGGGAGAGGTGCCCCTCAGCCCCTCACACCAAGCTGCTGGTGCCTGGGAGAGGGGCTTTGGATGATGCCCTGTGCTGTTCCCCTCAGGCAGCAAACACTGACATCGGCTGGACACTGGGCTTCATGCTGAACTTCACCAACATGATCCCTGCCGAGGCTCTGCAGCACGTCAAGGGCCACCAGCCCGGCCTGTGGGCAGGGGCTGTCTCCTTCCTCGTGCTGGCCATCCTGGCAGGCCTGGTGGCTGTTTTCCTACAATGCTTCTGGAAAACAAAGTAGCTCCCAACCTCCTGACTACAGGCATCCTGCCCACTAAACCAGGGAATTGGTGCAGAAGAGGTGGAAAGTGAAGAATGAAGGCATTAGACCCATCTCCATTGCTCAGGACATCTGACTGGGTCATCTCTGTGAATGTGGAAGATGACAAAGGTGTATTGATCTCTCTCCAAGAGGAAGAAGACTCCTTTAATCTGACTGCCAAAAGCTGATTGAGACTTGCTGGCTGGATGAAGCCAGAAAAACTCAAACTAGAAATAAAATCATATAAAATTTGTTTTTCAAATATGAATGTCACTGCTCAGCCTAGCACAGTTTCCTTGGCATTCCCAGTCCTGCTGGGCTACTCTTCCAACAGCCCTGGGAGGAAACTGGCAATGGAGAGCTGTGGTGGGCACCTGAGTCTGAGCAGAGGGATGACATCATCTGTATCCTGCCCTGTGCAAGATATGCTTTTGTAGTATGTGACAGAATCTCTTCTGAGACGCTGTCAGCTGTCTTTAAAAATACTTACTGGCATATCTCAGCAGAAAAACACAAGTGGAAGTTGATTTAAGAGTTGCCAGCTCTGGCTCAGGATTTATTTTATATTCAAGTAACATAGCCAAGTTTTGTCGAGGCACCAAATCCAGAACAGGTTCCAGCTCCAGGCACTTGGGTGTTTTATTTAGCTCAGCAGAGCACAGCCTGACCCAGCTGCAGGAACTGGACAGGGCTTTCAGTCCTTGCAGCAGCAGCCCAGCACTGCACTTCCCAGCCAGCCTTTCCCCAGGGCCTCCAGGGCTCTCCCACAGCCCAGAGCTGCTCTGAGCAGTGGGGATTTCCACCACTGCCTCTTCTCTGTGCTCCAAGATCCCACCTTGGCCTTAGGACTTAAGAAAGGTGCCCAAGGCATCTGGTCAAGGAATGGGCAGGTCCAAAGGCTATTTGCTATGGGAGACAGTGGTCCTAACTCATGGTATTATCCCATTAATCCCACTGCAGACTCGTTCCAAAAGCCTTTTGAAAGAGCAGCATCTCTGGTTTGTGGAGATTAGGTTATGTGACCCGAGAGCCTGGGGAACAGGGCTCTGTCCCCTGCTCCCAGCCTGCCACCCTCGGCTTCCAGAGCGAGGCTCAGCCTTCCCAGCCTCAACATGAGCTACAAGGGACAGGGGACGAAGATTCCCACCCAGGGAACCCCTTCCCACCCAGCAGCCTGAGCTGCCACATGGACAATTCCCACAGCCAGACCCCAGAGCCCTCTCCCTGCTCTGCACAGACACACCTTCAGCAGTGGAAGCACGAGGTATAAATTCCAGGTCAGGGAACAGGCTGTAGGAAATGCCATCACTGCTGGAACTGACCCCATGGATCTGAGTGGAAGATATCCCCTGTCCAGGTAGAGCAGAGCTCCCGGCTGTGCTGGCTGGGGCCCAAATGAGCTGGGACCAGTGCCTCCCACCCCTGGGGTGCAGTCAGGCAGGAAAAGGCTCCTGTTTGCTATAGGAAGGCAGCACCACAGCTGGTCTGGGTGGCAAAGCATTTGGGGAAGATGCCAGTCTTGCCATTGCAGCGTCCTTCCAGCCAGTCCTCGTTGACTGGAAAACAAAGGAGCAGGAATGAGTCCTGGCCCTTATGAGTGGGGTTAGTGAGAGCTTTCATGGCTGGAATTTAACTCTGGGCAAAGCCCAGTGCAAGCCTGTAACTCCTGAGAGTATGAACCTGAGACAGCACTGGAGAGGCCACATTTTCCCCAGTATCTCCCCACAGCAAGCTCCAAAAGCCTGGCCCAGCAGCAGGACTGGAGAGCTACCTTCAGAGAGGATATCCAGCACATCTCCCTTGCTGAACTCCAGGTCCCCTGGTCCCTGTGCCAGGTAAGAGTGCTGAGCCAGCATCTGGTAGAGAACAGGCCTGCCTGAGTGGGAGTCTGAGTCCTGCAGGAAAAAGCCAGCACGGAGGTTGCAAAGCAAAGCAGAGACTTGAACCCAGCCCAGCAGAGACGTTGTCCCAGCCCACATACCTGGCAGCAGAGTGTCAGCCTGCCATCTGTCAGCTGCTGCCACACCTTCCCCAGCTCCTCCTGTCCTGACACTGTCCCCAGCTCTGTGCCATCCAGGAGCCTGTAGCTGTAAGGGTTCATTAATGCTGAGCAAATCATCTCCTTTAAAGCCAAACTCGGAGGCAAGCCCAGCCCCTCTGCCACCCCCAGTCTTCACATTCCCCTTTGAGGTCACCTCTGAGCTCGTCCCCTTGCACAGGGACACGGGGCCACCCCACATGCCCAGTGGGCAGCTGGATGGCCGTGCCCCGAGGGGAATGGCTGGTGCCCCATGGCAGCCCAGGCTGGCATACCTGAGCGTTCCCTGCTGTGCCTGCTGTGCCAGCGTGTCCCGCAGCAGGGCCCGCAGGGCTGGCAGGGCTGGGGCCTCGCCTGCCCGCAGCACCACGGAGCACTCGCAGCGCAGCCGCAGCACCACCGGCCTGGCCGTGCCCGCAGCGGCCTCCCCGCTCCTCGGGGACATCTGTGGGGAGACAGGCTTGGTCAGAGTGGAGAACCAGAGTGTCCTGAGCTGGGAGGAACCCACAGGGATCATGAGTCCAGCCCCTGGCCCTGCCCAGACCCCCCAACATCCCACCCTGGGCATCCCCGGAGCTCTGGCAGCCTCGGGGCCGTGCCCATTCCCTGGGGAGCCTGGGCAGTGCCAGCAGCCTCTGGGGGAAGAATCCAGACTGACTATGAAGTTCATGGATTAAGAAAAACCACGACTGACTCTAACAAACCCAACTGACAATATCTGCTCTCACACTAAGAGAGGTGACACAGACACAATCCCTCATCTCTGTGCTGCCATGTCACAGTAGAACATTGTCAAAATACAGACCTGAATTTCAAAGGGGGAACTCTGATTCAAAGCCTGGGATCCAAAGTTCCTCCCATGACCAAGGAATTCTGGTTTTGGTTCTGATTTTACAGGTACCTCCTAAACCCAAAATTACATGAGCAGGGCTCCAGTTCCTCCAGCCAGCTGGAGAGGAGCAGCCATATTCCTCTGTTGTGTTGCCTTCTGGCTGAACTGCACCTGAAAAAATTACCCCAAAAGCCCTAAAAAGAGGAGCCACAGAGCTGACCTGCAGCTGGGGAAAGAGGTGGTGTCCCCACAGGAGTCATTCCAGGGCCATCACATGCAGGGGCTGGCGATGGCATGGAAGTGCCTCAGAGCACATTACTCCACACTGTAAATCTGAATGAACTGTGCTATCCACACTGATAGGGACAGAAAATGGGACGCAGGAAGAGGGGAGAAGGGACAGCAGAGTGTTCAAAGACAACTGCCTCTTGCAAAGTGGGTTGTAAAGCATGTGTACAAGAACTCTGATGTGTTTGGTGCTCCTGGTGCCTCGGAGGGTGGCAACAGGTGAACCCTGGGCTGTATCACAAAGTGGGATGGTCACAAACTGGGAGGAAAGACCACATGGGAGCCTCTCTACAGAATGGAAAAATGGTCAGAGGAAGGAGTTTTTCTCAGTGATTTGGGAGCAGCTCAGGAATTTTGGGCAAGAATCTTGCACTTTTCCCAGCTCTGGTCTCCAGAGGCTGTGTGAAGGTCAGCATGTGGAACACCTCACCTTGGAGTCCACGTGGGCACCAGCAGCATTGGCAGAGGCATTTTCTTCCCTGGGAGCATCTGCAGAACAGCACAAAGGCAAGGGAACAGCGCTGCAGTCATCACAGGCTGCAGTGGGGCCACCACCTCCTCACACCCCCTAAAGAGAGCAGGGTTTGGGCACAGCTCCACCCACTGAGGTCCCTGCCCAGGGATTACCTGGCTTCTGCTTCACGTGAAGGCAGCTGGGAGGCACCTGGGCAGGAGGAAGGGGAATCCCAGTGCTGTTCTTCTGCAACAGAACAGCATCAGAAAGGAGAGGGCAGAAAACACAGGAGCCTGGACAGGGCTGGTGTGTGACAGGCTGCAGCCAGCCACAGATTCAGGGGTGCAACCCCAGGGAGAGCTGCTCATGGCTGGATGAGGTGCAGCACTCAGGCTCTTGAGGGCAGAGGTTTGCAGACGCTTCTCTGGCCCCCTGCTCCCTGCTGGGTTGGTGCTGGAACAGAAGGAGGCTGCCCACACTGCTGAGGGCTGTCCCCACGTGGGCTGCTTCATGGTGACACATCCATGGAGCAAACACCCAAGTGTGTACCAGGGATTCATTTGGAGGAGGAAAAATGACAATTAAAAAAATCATAGCAACATCAGAGCAACCATGTGCTTGAAAGCTCCCTGACAGGAAACAGGGGGCCGAGCTGCACCCTTCCTCACTGGGTTCAGATAGAAAATGATTGGGATAATGTGTGGCTATGCCTGTGGTGGAGATGGGAGATGAAGTTCTGAGAAGAAGAGAGTCAAAGGGATTTTTCCTACTCCTAACTCTTCTGTTGTTCCCATTCAAGAGCACTTGGTCTTCGGTCAATAATCTCAGTGCTTCATACTCTAAGTTTCTCTTACAGAGTTGTGCTATCCTATGATAACCTTACAGACCAATGTGTGCCTTGGTCCCTCCCTCCCCCTGGTTGCAAGGTTGCCAGCTCACCCATTTCTCCATCCTCGAGGCAGGCTCCAGGAGAGAGCTCGGGATGTGCAGCTTCTGCAGAGGGACAGGGAGCAGAGCAGGCTGAGAGAGGAGCCCTGTGAGCCCAGCCCAGCCCCTGTTCCCATCACCCTACGGCCACATGAACGTGCCCGGGGGCCAGGGCCACCCCAGCCACCCAGTGCTCTCCAACTGCTGGACAATGGTGCTCCTGCAGCTTTTCCTGCTGGGAGCAGAGCTGCTGCTGGAGCTGCTGCAGGGGAACAGGCCAAACACCCACCGAGTCCCCTGCTGCCAAGACATGCTCTGGCAGAGAGCAGCAACGATGCCCAGGGACACCAGTCCAGCAGCATTTCTTGTCTTCTTGCTGCTCATTTAAACTGAGCATTGCCATTTTCTGTTTACAATGTTTTTTTTTTCTATTGAGAGTCTATTTTTATTTTTTCTACATCAAATTTCACCTGACACTTCACTAAGCAGTCAACCAGCACATCCAAACACTTGTGTAACTGTTCCTATAACTCCAGATGCTTCTCCCCCTATTCCTCTATCACTTAAGAATATGCTAAATGCTTATGTTACAGAGGAGCCCGGTGGGTGAGAGCCCAGTGCCAGGAAATCTGGGGGTGTGGGAAGAAGCTGCTGAGGACTGTGCTGGGGGCTGTGTCCCTCACCTGCCCATCGTGGATGGCCGTGGCCCAGCCGTCTGCTGCCCTGCTCAGCACGAACACCAGGCTCCCTGCCGGCACCTGCAGCCCCGCCGGCTCCCGGGGGCAGTACCGGGACAGCAGCCGCTGGTACCCGCACTCGGCATCCCTGCGGGGAGAGGAGAGAGCTGCACCCCCTGGCCATGGGTGCCTCTGGCCACCAGCACACTGCACCAACCCCAGCTGGCACGGGCTGCAACCTGCGGGTGTTGGGAAATCGTGATTTCCACTGCTGCCCTTTGCTCCAGCTGGGAACAAAAGGGGCTTGGAAAACACTGATTTGCCAAATGCAGCTTCGTTTTCATTGTGCTGATAAACACTATCAAGATCAAAACAATTATTCAACACAGCCCTGAAGTACTGCTGGCACAATATCACTAAAACAAATTACTTTCTTGGGGTTTGAACATCATTTTGGCTCAGGACATTAGGGCTGGTAATGAGTATTTGAAATTATCCTGGGAATTAAGATGGGAAAGCTGAGCATCCTCTGCCACAGACCTGGGCAGGTCCCACAGCCTGTGTCTGCTTCCATTCCCCAGGCATGCCACAAACCATGCCTGTCTCCCAAGACTATTGAATCAAGTCCTGCAAGCTGCCCAGAGGCTCTTGCAGAGATGCCAGGGACCCACAGTGTCCTCTGCAGCCACAGAAACCTTCGTGTGTTTGTCATTCACTCCACCCCTGGTGAGAAGTGGGTGTGGATCCCTCGGTGTCTTCACACAAAGATGCTGGAGAACAAAACTTTCTGAACAGTAGTGAGGGAAGGGTAAGACCAGTGTGGGACTGAACACTCACCGCAGAGCATCGGCACTGGGTTCATAAAAGCCCTGTTTCTGTGGGAGAAACAACAGGACCTGTTTATAACAGTGTCTCCTACAGCAGCAGTGCCACCTTACCTCCTGACTGTGCTATTTTGTCTTTACTCTTGACCCCATTTGTCATTCCACACCACCCAGAAAAAGTCTGCTGCTCCACACCTTACTTCTCTTCCTTGCCCTCCCTCTTTATCTCATCAGGAAGTAACACAATCTCACTGCCCTCCCCTGGTTCCAAGCACAGTGTGAGGCAGTTGTGCTCACACTGACACATTTACTGAAGTGATGAGCAGAGACAGGCTGAGCACACCAAAGCACTGCTGTTTTGACATGGTGAAGAGCCAAAAATGCATCTTTAGAGAGCTGGAGATTCCCTGAGTCCCTTACAGACAGTGCTGAGCCTGGCTCTGAACATCCTCATGGATCCAGGCTAGCATTACACTGGTTTCTTCCCCTGATGGATTGGATCTGAGCCCCTTTCTGGAGCTCCATGACAGCTCCATTCCTCCTTTCACAGCCCTGTCCTGCTCACCTGAGGCCTGAGAGGCTCGAAGCCAATGTACTCATCGTTGGGAATGATGGATGAGATCACCTGTTGGAGAACAAAGCAATGAGTGAATCTAGGCTGGATGAAGAGACCCCCAAACTTCATCCAAGATTATCTGCTCAGACCCATTTCCCTCTGGCATCCCAGGGTCAGGCAAAATGTGGAGTTGTGCACACAGGGGGAGAGGCAGAGCTGGATTCCCAAGACAGTTTCAATCATTTGTGTCCCAGTTTTCAAGTCTTTCCAAGGTTTCTTTAAAAGTATGTGAATTTATTACTTTCCCTTTATTTATGTTGGAGCTCTCTGTTCTGACTGCACTGGTCACAGAAGGGCACAGAGAAATTCTCTGCTGCCTTGTATCAAGGGATGAGACAAAGCATTTGTCCCCCAGATGCCCACCTGTCCCCCTGGGAATGCGGGAGTGAGTAGCAGCATGCTGGGACAACGTGCCCCTCTTAACAACCTCACTGTCAGCAAAAGAGCAACCACGGGTTCCAGAGTACCTGCTCAGCCCTTTCAGACTTTAAAGTGACCAAGACTGGGGAAGACATATTAGTGCCAAAGTGCATTTTCTGGTAGAAGGGGTGGCAATTGTAACAAATTTTGGCTTCTGTGTCCCGACTGCCTGGACTGGCTGCAAGCTCTGCCCATCCTGCTCTGGGTCCCCACACGGAGGGGGGAGATGTGTGGGGATGCTCCCTGGAGATGGCAGAGGAGGGATTTTTTGCTGCTGCTGTTAATCGTGACATTGACGTGCCCGTTACCTTGGGTTTACCCAGGAAATCTTTTGAATCCAGCTGCTCAACTTCTTTCTTTCGTGGTCTGAAAAGTTCCCCGAGAGGAACCAGCATGGGCTCTAAAAACAGGTGGTCCTGGGGTGGGGAAAGCAGGTAAAGGAAAAGCCATCAATCCACACTGAATGTAACATCAGAGCACTGAAAAGCAAATACAGTGCTCTGAGCACTGCAAAAGCATCTCCAGGAAAAATGGGGCAGAAGTTTTGGCTGTGAACTTGACCAAGGCCATTCAAGCCCCACAAAAGCATGAGCAAACTGAGAGCTCAGCAGCCCCTCCCCAGTGTGGAGGCAAGGACAGACACTGCTGGCATGGATTGGGTGGGAAGGGGAGCAGTGCAGGAAGGTTTAGTAAATAAATCTTCTAAACAGCTTTCCTGTTTGACCTCAGATGTTTTCTGTTCAGCCACAGAGTAGAATGCTAATAGCAAATATAAATAATACACTGGAAAAGCACGAATGTGATGCCAGAAGAGATCATCAGATTAAAAACAAAGTATGAATCTCTTACAAAGTATGGAGGTAGCAAACTGATGAATCTTTCAGGAAGAGTAAACCAGAGATCTGCAAATGTTTCCAGATCATAAAGGAGTCTAACAGGAAACTTTAACTTAGAAACAACCCTAGAAACACTTTCACACCCTACTTAAGCTCTAAAAGTGATTGACATTAATATCTGAGCTGCCACCAATTGTTCCTGAAGCCAAATGGACTCAAAAAAAGCCAGTGCCATGAAAAGGGAGACTCTCCAGACCTGCACTTGTAGGGGTTCTGAACTTGAAACACTGCACAAGGCAACTGGCTTTGCAGGATAAGCACAAATGGAACTGAGCTCCTGAACATGAGGGACCAGGAAGCCAGCCACAGAGGTCATCCCAAAATTCTCCACTGTGGTGTTTCTGGGCAGGGAAGCACCTGGGAGCGTTGGAGTTCCTCTAGCACCTGAAGCACTGGTTTGGCAGAGCATGGTGTGCAAATGGCTTACACTGTGCTAGCAGGTGGCCAAGCAGCTGGGTGGATGGCAGGAACATGCAGGAATCAGGAACATTCCAACAGACAACTTTAGCACACATCCCTGAGCTGAAGCACGATGCACACACCCAGGAACTCCCACAGGTGGCCTTACCTGCACCCGCTCGAGGGCCAGCTCCAGGACTGCTGTTCTTCTTTCAGGTCTCCACACAACAGCCTGCTCTAGGGTGACTCTGGCCTCCTGCCACTGCTGCAGGTGGCACTGCACTGCTGCAATGCTGTACAGCACCTGCAGTGGGCACAGGGACGGGATTCAGAGGGCCAGGACCAAGGGACACCCAACACATCCTCCTGAACTCAGCCAAGAAACAGGGACAGGCACTAAATCACCAAAAATTCAGCAACAGGAAAGGCACTCTGAGCAGCGTGGCTGGGAAAATTTCACGATCAGAAAGGAAAAATAAAAGCTTGGGTGTGCTGGAGCTGCTGGTCAAGGTGAGGAGAGACATGGGGACAGCAGGTAAAGACTCTGGTACCACACTGTTTATGTCTGATTCTTCCTGCATCCAAAAGACCAGATGCTCTTCTTGGGTTTCTTTCTGCATGCAACTAGGCAATGATTTTTGTAATCCTGACTCCCTGTCACTGCAAAATAACTTAACTGAAACTATTTCACATTGTAGTGGGCTGTGAATGTGCAAATTGTCAGTTGTAGCTTGTCACCCTTCAGCAGCATGTCAGTCTGTTCCTGGGGAAGTGCAGGCTGTGGGAGTGTTGCAGACAGGGTGTTGGGGAGCTGTGCTCTATATTGGGAGTGGGAGATCTCTCCCTGTCACTGGCCAGCACTCGCTGTGTGGGAAAGCTGCTGGGCCACGGGCAGAGCACTGTCAGACAGCTCCTTATCTCCTGTCACAGGGTTATCAGCTGGGAATTGAGGTGTGTGCCTGGCTGCACTGGACAAGGCTGGAGCTCATAGCATGCTTTTCCTTTACTCCTTAATCATGGCCGTAGAAGACTCTGGGAGTGTGGGGAATGGCAACCCTGAACATGTACAGGAACTGTCTCAGGAGGCAAGGCAGCAATTCTCACACAGTCAGAAGCGTCACAGCCTTGCAAGAGGCAAATGTTTCTGGGTTTTCAAACCATGCATGTATCTTCCACGAGAAGATCAGCTGCAGCACGTGAGAGGCCAAGCATGGGGAAAGCTGATGGCACAATTCTGCTGGAGGATGATGTTGGTGTATTTTGAATAATGAGCTCCAGGTAAGAATGAGATAGAGCTGAATCAGGATGCTGATCCCAAGTCTGGAGGGCCAGCACATGTCCTGGAGTGAGGGGTGGTGTGTTCACACCAGGAAAGGGCTCAGCCTCCTCGGGACACTCCTGAGCCCTGCCCCTTTCCCACCTCCAAGAGAAGGCAGTGCCGTGGCACTGAAGCTGTTAAAGCCAGGGAGGTTGGGCTAACACCACGGATGCTAAGGATAGCTTCCTCCTGCCGGGAATAAGGTGCGTGAAAATTGCCCGAGATGCTCGACTGGAGTTACACAATGGCTCCTCACTCTCACGGAAGTAAGGAGTTAAATCCTATTTCCTGGATCTGCTTTTTGACCTGTGTGTGTGGACTCAGAGAAAACAAAATCAACCCTTCCAGTAAAGGACAGTTTCTAGGAATCCTTTATATATGTCCAAATATGACAAAAATTTACAGCCAGTTCAGCCTTTGAGCTTCCTTGAACAGGATGTGGCAGGTGTGACAGAAAGAGGTGCAGGATGAAGCATTACAAACACAGCCTGAGCACAGGGTGTAAGTTCAGGCACAGAGGGAATATTAAGATCAGTTGCTGCAGTTGGAAAGAGGCTTTTATGCACCTGAATTTCCTGGAGTCCACATTATGCATCAGCTCTCATCTGCCAATGTTTCAACTTCTTTCAGCTCTTAGAGCTTAGAATTTACATGTATGTTTACATGCCTGCAAGTGTAAATATTACACAGAATCCCAGACTGGTTTGGGTTGGGAAGAACCTTAAAGCTCCAGTTCCATCCCTGCCATGGGCAGGGACAACTTCCACAGACCAGGCTGCCCCCAGCCCCATCAAAACTGGCCTTGGGCACTTCCAGGGATCCAGGGGCAGCCACCACTTCGTTTACATATAGAGAAAATAAAAACCCCTCAATACACAAATTCCCATGCACCTGCTCTGAACAATTTTACTTTCAAAGTGCATCATTTGCTAAACTTTCCAGAGATTATGTTGGTTTACAACTTTTTTGATTAAGTTACTTTAAAAAAAGTGCAAGCAGAGTATTTTTACAGTTCTAATGTACTTCCTTGAAAAAGTCTTGTGTCACTGATGCCTGCTTCTGACATCCCCAACAGTGGGGAAGAATTTCTGAGCCAGGCTCTTACCTCCCAGGCATAGAGGATGTGCCTCAGCCCCAGCTGCTTGTAATCGATGAAGGGATTTTGTCTTAGGTGACTGAAGGCCATGTGATAGTCAGAGAGAGCTTCTTCATACCTGCAGAGGTGACACAAGAGACTGAGCCTAAAAAAGCTGGAGACTGCTAAAGAAGCTAAAAATCACACTAACAAACAGCATGTATTCTGCTCTGCAGGCTGTGCAAGGAGAGCTGTACCAGAGATGTGTCATCCTGGTAAAGAACAAACACTGCCCACTGTTGGGAGCTCCCTGCACGTGTCTCAGGAGGATCCAGGGCTGGGAACCTGGCTGATGGGCACCAGGGAGGGCACACACGTGGCCAGAGCATCAAAACTCTGAAACTCAAAATTTAGAACCTCAACATTGAAAAACGTAGAGCACCTCTGAGGCTAAGGAGGCTACTAGTCTGAATTTACACCAGCAATGCAACTGAAGTCTGAGCAGGTGCAGGTGGTGAAAGGAAGCATCCAGGAAGGGCTGTGCAGTGGGCACCGACCGAGAGAAGGTGCCCAGGTAGATGTGGGTGGGTGGGAGCAGCTTCTGATGAAGGAAGGAGCCCTGGGGCACTGGAGGCCATCAGCTCTTTGGGCAGGAGGCAGCTGCCAGCTCTGCTGCCCCTGCAGTGGGTGTGCTTGGGGCACATTTGCTTCTGCTGGTGGTGGAGCAGCTCCTGAGAGCCCTGCCTGGCACTTTAGCAGCCCCAGGCACAGCCCCTCCACTGGAGAAGCCAGAACTGCTCACCTTAACTCCCTCCCAGAAAGAAAGACAGGCATTTGGTGGAGATTAAGGTCTGGAAAATATGGGGAAAGCAACAGGAAAGAAAATAACTGAGCTCAAAGGTAAGACAAGATCTCTGAAATACTTCCCCCGGCTCCCTGAGGAGGAGGATGTCACTGTGATTTAACTGTGGAACAATGAGTAATCAATCCCATGACACTTCTGGAGCAATCTCAATATTTTATCAGTGAGACTGAGATCAGGCCCCTGAAGTCTGCTGGCAGGAGAGTGTGCAGGCTGCATTTCTAGGAAGGCCAGACTCATGTGTGTCATGTGAAAACACACCAAGACACACAATTATATTTTTTTAATTCCCAAAGAAAATCTGAATGGCAACATAATATTGTGGCTTCCAGGAATCTCTGTGAGTATGGGACAGAAATGTAATGTGTCAGCCACCCCTGCGGCCCCAGAGTTGTGCAGCTCTTATCAGAGATAAGACTTGCTGACCTGTGACAGGGTTTCCAAGGCCAAGCAGACCCTGTGAACTCTGTAAAGTTTCTGGAAGAAGTGAATTTTGGAATCAAAGAGTCATTTAGGTTTAGGAATAAAGCAGGACTGAAAGGAGAGAACCAAAGGCTGCACTGGTTGTGCACCTAACTCACATTTCCAGCTGCAGGTGCACAAATCCTCTCTGGAAGTAGCCCACAGCCAAGGAATTGTCCTTCTCAATGGTTTTATTAAATGCCTGAGGAGAAAAACACAGGTACACCCCAGGGATCAGCTGGGATCTGCTCTGTCAGTGCCCAGGCACACACACACCCAGCCAGCCACATTCCTGCTGCCCTCACAGAGGCAATCCCTCCCAGTCATCTTTCAGGTCTTGCCTCTGGATGAGCTGAGCTTCAGCCTTTTCCCCCTCCTTGCTACAATGGACTGGACATAAATGAGCTGCAGTGGCCATCTGGCTACTTAAACTGGGAAAACTGCAGCCTGAAGCAGAGCTGGCCAGGACAGTGGGAGCAGCAGGACTGGCCAGGCTGGGGAAGGCTGAGGTGATGAAAGGGTCAGAGGGAGGAAGCTGTAGGGCTTCCCACAATGACCTCTAAGTCAGCACCTCTGCTTCAGTGCCCCAGCTAAATACAGGCAGTGCTTGCAGAGCTGGCAGCAGCTCGTGGTTCAGCGTGCTGGGACAGCCAAGAGTCCTCCTGAGGCAGCAGCAGCAGCAGGGATGTGCTCCTTCCCTCCCCACTGCAGACACCTTGTAAGGATAACAATGCTGGAAGCCCAGCCCTGCCTTCACTACAGGTTAAGGTGAGTCTGTGACCCCACACACACCGTGCTGGAACATCTGCCTCACTGGGCCATAAACAAAACAACAACCAACTGTTGATCCCCACAGAAGTAGAGCTGAGCTTCTTCCCTGTCACTGCCCCTTGACTGGGGTTCAGAAGTCTCTCCTGAACTCTCTCCCTCATCTTCATGGCACCACTGCCCTGTGCTCAGTGTCCCAAACAGCCACTGCCCAGGGCTCCACGGGCTGCCCCAGCCCCTCCAGCACAGCCTCAGCTCTTCCTTATGTGCTTTGAGGAAAGGTTTATCTGCATCTCCTCACTGGAGACAGATGGATAATGGATGGATGGATGGATG